ATATATTAAAGATGCATAAAATTTCATTTGTATCATATTTATCTGAAAATAGAAATTGGGGATTTTCAATCGGAAGTTACTTTTAAGTTGAAATCCATAAAAATGTTTATGAAAGAAGATGAATAAGTTTAAATGTTATTTCCTTGTAGTTTATGTGTCTCCTATCACGCAATACCAATATGGTGTCTGCATATTTTTGCTTCCTGATTGGAGTATCCAGCGAATGCAAACAAATTTGAAATAAGTTGCAAGCTTTGACTGAAAAGTAATTTATTGTTTTGTTTTATCAAGATAGTGAGAGTACCCGTAAATGTTCATAGACTGATAAATACATTTAAAGTATACATAAAGTAGAAGGAAGGAAATCACTTTCACTACTTGAAATGCTTTTTTTCCCCTTCTTCCTGGAACTATATATTAAACTTAATGATATAGTGAAATAGGACCTATCATGATATATTGGAGATTACGTGGTGCACAAAGACGCTGTTTTATTTTGTGCTGGAAATGTAGTCATACAAAATGTCAAAAAGGGGTCATTGTCAAAATATTCAGGTGGCCATGTGAACAAATTCTGTATTTTCTTACCTAGAGGCTGAAGGGTTTTCATTTTCATCATGTGACATTACACATTATTTAAGGCAATCAGGTGGTCATGTACTAGGCAGCAGTATGCAGCCTCATCTTCATTTGTAAATGTCAGGTTATATTTATTTTGTTATGATATGTATAAGGCTATAATTTGGACCAAGTATATGTAACGAAAGGTGCAACATTTTGTGACAATCTCATTAGTGAGATTATTCTTTGTCAGGTCAACAAGTTCAGCTATATTCATCATTTGTACTTTCAGTATAAACTTTGATTTAATGAGAGTGAAAAATCAGAAATAGTCAGTACTAAATGCGATATTCAATCTTACCATTGTATATATTTGGTAATATCTTGGTGTAAAATTTCAGTATCTGAAGAATTGTATTCGATTTAAGCTACCTAATCAATTTAAGACTAGCTAGATGAACTGAGATATTTTTTAGAGATGCATTTATTTATATATACCTATGAAAATGAAATGTATCCATTAATCTATTTCTTGATATGTTTCCTCTTAGCTCAGTTTTAATCTTAGATATTTATAGTTCGCAGTAAGTAATAATAAAAATATTTTACTATGTTATGGACTGATGTTTGGAATTGATAAGTGACAGATCAAGCTACGTTTGTGTGCTACTCAACAAATGACTGCATCTTAACATTATATTTGTGCTGGCTGGTTAATCTCTTTCAGAGTGATTTTAGACTTGAATATGACTACAATTTTCCAATATTTTTATTGTACAAATACAGGTTTACTCTGAGCCATATTTTTGTATAGATTTTGGTAAACGGCTTGCTTCATAATCATGTTAGTAATCTCATCTATGCGTATATGATGAGGCTCTACAAAAATGGTTGAATCTCCATAAATCTTGTTTGTTTGTTTTTTCCTCATTTTTGTCATCTTCTCAATTTTTGTCATATTTCCAAATCATATTTTTATGAGGTCAGCATCCTAACAGGAAATTATATTAATCTTTATACATGTCTCCTGAAATTGGTTCTTAGGATTGTAAATATATATGACTTCAGATTGTATATACATTTATTTCTTACTCTTTGAGAATTCTGTGGGAATAATTGCCAAGTTTAAAATATGGTTTCTGATAATTTGTTTATAGCACATTTAATTTTTGTTTCTTTTCAATGAAACAATCATTTTATTTGACTTAGCATTTTTGTCAATGACTGTTTGCTCAACTGAGAATAAACATAGTCTTTCAAATAGACTTCTAATGAATCTTGTTTCTTCTTTTTCTGTATATATCTATATTTCATCAATTGGTAGTGATGGCATCGTTCAAAAATCAAATCATACAGAAAATATGACGGATTGTTTACAGTCTTAAACATTCAATCACATAGGCCTACTTCATCACAAAGGCACAATATAATTATGTTCAAACTAGTAATTTAATAATGAATTTTGAATCAACATCTTTGAAAAGGCATATAAGACTAGGGCATCCGGTTTAGTTATCTCCCTTAGATTCTAAAGCAGTAGAAACTGGTGTATACTAATGAAAGCAAGTTTATACATAATGTTGATTATATACCCATTTCCGAATGCTATTTTATGGATGATAAGGTGGAGCTCTATCCTATGGAACTTTTCTTAACGATGAATGTATGACAGAGGGTGTGTTTTTGGTGGTATTTTTTGCTTACCAATACGAAGCCCGATTAATTACTGATATCCACACATCGTAGAATAGTCATTGAATATTCAGATACTATGGAAAAGTGCAAATTTATGTGTTCTCGTATTTTTTGAGGAGGTGGGAGGGGGGGGGGGGAGTCTGCCGAACACTTTACCTTTCTGATAGTATCTACCGTGAATAAGCCAACTTTATCTTCAGGCGCCTGGAAAGTAAACTTTAAATCATTCAATCTATTATGCCTCACATCCTGATTAATTGCTTACTCTCAATAGACTTTATATTACGTGAGAAATGCAAATTTGGGGAGAGACTCACCAATTTTATTGTTAAATAATGGCGTCTTATTCTGAGTCGGGGGGGGGTATGGTTTCCTTTATGATATAAATCAAAACATCTCTTAAGAACAAAATCTTATTCCAGAAATTACAACTACAACAAAATGACAATTTTCTTGTCCGACGAATTCATAAAAACATGAAAGAGCTATTGATATTCGTCGAAATGATTGCATTGCTAATGAAAAGAGAGGCTTATATAAATTATATTGTCCTGGAAGTACGTGCAATGAAATCTACTTATATACAAAGTCACTTTGACAGCTCTAGCCGAACAAATTAATTAAGGGAGAAATGACAAGTATGATAAAATATATTCAATAATACATTAAACAGAATGCTACATTATCTAGATTTTATTTCACTATAATCGTCTCTGACTTCTAAAATAAGCTTATGATCAGAATAGTCTAATTTTTTTAAACAGCGTTTAACGTTCCGGCATTAAAATATGCTTGAAATATAGGCGGTCGATGACATTGTATTTCAATTTTTAAAATGGCATCCTAAAAAAACATTTGCCTTTATCATTTTAACCACAATCCATGCATTTACCGCAGATTTTTCATGGAATACGTTACATCATATTACCGGAAAGCCCTCTTGTCAACCGAATTCCTGTTTTCCAAATTTGACCGTGCATGTGAGTACTATTATGGAATCTCTTGAGCATATTGTCACCGTGATTCAATAAAACAAACGTTATATTTTGGGATCGTGACTATAATATATATGACATTCTTGGAAAAGGGTTGTTTGTTTTTACAGTTGTACAGACCGTATATAATTATCATGTTATTCATCATATTTTGCGGTGCCTATATTATATACTGATATGTTTCTACTTCGAAAGACAACGGAAGGGAAAAGGATAAGATTGATGTTTTGATCAGGTTTGTCAACAAATGCAATACAACAAATAAGAGAAGACTATAGTGACTAACATGAGAATACAAAAATGAAACGAAGCCAGACAGCAGATATGCCCGAAAACCATTTGTTTGAGACATACTGAAGAAACAATAACACTAATAAAACCGACAAAACAATAATCGTTTTCTTCTTCTTCTTCAGTTTAATTTGCTTCTGCTTCTTCTTCTTCTTCTTTTGTTTTTCTTCTTTTTATTCATCATCATCACCTTCTTCATTTTCTGCTTTTTAGGCAATTTAACTGCATTGCTTGTTTTATTTTAATTTGTTCTATTTTGTGCGGCAGAGTGATCGCAAAGCCTTCCTGAGGAAATCACAGGGGTTATTGGAAATTTTGTTCAGATATTAACTTTTAGGGGGGATGGATGATACCCCCCCCCCCCCCCCACTCCGAGAACGGACGGACCCCATGCGTGTTACCAAAATGTCCGGTAAAGGGGTACTTTTCGTGCGACAAAGTCCGGCCCGAGCATTGTACCAAAAAAAAGGGTGTAATAACTTTTCACCCGGAGATTTCTCTAAAAAGGGGGTGTTTTTTTTTTCTTCTCTCATCTCTTTTGACTCCTGAGAAATTATTCCGAATTTAGGGGGGGGGGAGGTACATTGAGCATTTTTCATGATTTAGGGGGTTAGGGGGTTCGGAAATGTTGGCAGTCCTCAGATTGGGGGTACTTTCAAAAAGAGGGAACAAGCATAAGTACCCTAAATAACACTGAGTGGGGGGGGGTGGATGATAGGCCTAATAATGAATTGACAGAAGTGACAAAAGGAGAATGATAGGAGCATGAGAAAGAGAGAAATGGGAATGGAGGAAGGAAGAGGGACTCTCGAGACAGCGATATTAAAGAAAGAGAGAGAGAGAGAGAGAGAGAAGGGGTCTTTGTGGAATTAAGTAGAATTTTTTTTTTAGAGAAACGGACAATATTGAAACCAGAAAATGGAGCAAATATTATATCCCATATCTTTATGCCTCAACATCGAAATATGGCCCATACCTATTTGTACCCTTATTAAGTATTTATACATTAATTCACATGGCTCACTTTTCCAAATTCTCATGATGTGATAGAGGACTTTTTATATAGTACCCATACGGTGAAAATTATCAATGTGTATTTATAAATCATGTATTTACTTTAATACTAGTAGGCTATTCACCTTTTCATAAATGTATTGCCCAATGGAGATTCCCCGTTCAATTCCTAAACTTTTTCTATTTCTCTTTCTCAGTTTCTGATTTATCTGCGGGCGCTAGTTGGGGTCAAAGATATATATATTTGGATAACTTTTCAAAGTTCGGTTGACCGCAGACGATTAAATTAGATCTGCTATTGTTTTTGTTTAGTTAGTTTCTTGGTAGTGTTTCCCCCTTTTGTTTTATCATAACTAAATGCGGCTTCGAGCAAAAATATAGAGTTGTTTTCACTTTTATGTGAACAAAGGCACAGTGTTGTTTTGCGTTACGAACATTTACGACCGGTTGCCTATCACGTGATTTAAACGTCACTTTACTTCCTGTGTCGGTCGACGATGAAGTCATTTGTTCTTGAGCGAAACGACGGCTCCTAAAAGGATAAAAATGCCATTTACTGTCATATCCATGCGTTTTCGAGTTAACTATTAGGTAAGCTTGTAGCGTTGATAAATTTGTACGAAAATATGATGTTTAGTGAAAAGAAATTTGTCACAATTCTCTAGATATTGGTTTGCTAAAGATCGTGATTGATTAATTCATTTTTGCGTGTGAGTCAATACTGAGTGAGTGCATGAAAATATGGTCATCGAGTGCAAGGTATGATTGCCATTGTCTGCCCGCATATCCCCGTGCCGAGGCGCAGGCGCGGGGGTCGGGGCCAGCTGGTCGACTGGCACTGGTGCTTGTGAGTTGTGTTCCTGTGTAATGTACTGGTTGCATACAGCTTTAGTTCCATTGGCATTGTATTCTATTGCAAGGGTCTTAGCAATGAATTGGGACTGTTGTAATTCATGAAACCTAGAAGGCTTTAATTTCGTAAATGGATGGGATTCACAGCACATCAACTAGAAGTACAATGTAGAATAGAGTCTAGACCCTAGACTACACTGTAGGACTAGTCTATTTTTTAAAAGAGATCATGACATGGCATGACAGGGTCTATATAAATTATTTGCAATTCATGAAATCTTAATTCATCAATTAGCATGATTGATGCAATTAAATTTACCAAAATTTTGTTTTTGCTATGTCGAAATGACATGGGTAACGAGACCACCTCTTGTGAAAAGTGACATGCTTTTGTTTCAATTTTTGCTGAATGGGGGGGGGGGGGGGGAGGGGTACTACTAGGGGTAGGCACCTTGTCGTAACAATAACCGGTATAAGGTGTAATAATAGATGATGAACAAAAGTTGCGTGTACATTGCAGTTTGTGAAGTTGTGACTTTAATTAGAACATTTAATGAAATGAAAAACAGAATATTTTTCTATTAATTTCTGTGACTTTTCAATGTACCGGTAATATAACATTGATTTTGGGGATGTACATGTACAATGTACGTATTTGCTCAGTACCCCACTCAACCTTCACTACCACTCCTCTCCTCTTCCCCTTCCCCCTTCCATGTACTAATGTGCAGAACTGTACCCACAATTGATAATTATCAAGTTTATAATTGAAAAATAAATTGAAATTGAAATTGAAAAAAGGGCTGTTCATGTAGGGGTCATAAACATTCCTTCTACATGGACATTGTGTGGGTGTGGCAAACATTCCTTCTACATAAGGCCTGTCCTCATCAGCTCAAGTTTGCCTAATAACCCGCTATTCTAACTATCCCGATCGCAAATTAGCCAGTTAATTTTAGACTTCATCGGCCCGCATTTGCAATCAGTTGGATACTTGGTCGAGAAAATATCCCAAGAAATCTTGGGCTTGTTTCCAAAATATCCCGCTTTTGGGGAAATAGCAGGCTAATTTCGAGTCCGAGCTGTCCGAGCTACATGTAGTTTGTGATGAGTGTAACAGTCTGGTGAACACGCAATTTTGAGCTTCGGGATAATATCCAGAGTCTGAAATAGCGGGTTATACTGTATAATATGGCAAACTCAAGCTGATGAAGACAGGCCTCATGGACATTGAGTGGGTGTAGCAAACCACAAAATTGTTTTTCAGGTTGTTCATAAATTGTAAGTTTTGTAGACAACTGATACTGGTAGTCTGGTACCATCTAAGTTTAATTGTTTACATTTTTGAAATCCACATTGTTTGTAAATCAGTGCTTTACACTAACTTTTATGGGGGTCATTTTCTGTCAGTGTACCAAATACTGTTGTACAGTACTGTACATGGTATTTGGCCATATTTAAGTTATTGAGAGAGAGAGAGGAAAAAAAGTCTAGAATGTTGTCATGCACAGAATCACTGCAAGATGAAGAAAATTTAATGAATCTCATTTGGGAGCTTACCAAAATGTATAAATGTATGCCAAAGAGTTTGTGGTTGTTTGTTTTTCTTCTTTTTTAACTAATATGGTAACTTTTTCAGATATTTACAAGTTTCATTTGTCAAGTGACTTACATTGTCAATGTCAACCTCTTAAATTGCATGTTCATATGCTGTTACTGTGTGGATTCGATACAGAGAACATGTAATAAGCTTACTGCAAACTTCTTTCAGTGAATTTTCAGGATTTTTTTAACAAAAAGTAAGTCCAATCTAAATGTATTTAGATTTTAGACCCACATGTACATGTACATGTACGGTATGTTACTGGCAGCTACATGTACATGCAGGTTTGAGTAAATAGGACTAAAAATGTATCTGATTGTTGTATAAAGTTATAGTCCTTAAACTCTTAAATGACTTGAATTTAGGTATGAATCCAAATATGAAGTGAAATGACTTTCAATTTATGTTCAGAACTTCACAGTATGATGGAACACCTTGCATGATGGTACCTGTACCGTACGTCAGACTTGCTCCATAAGAAGACTACGGTATTGTATGTCCAATTGAAATGTTGATGAAATTAACAATGATGAAATTCTCGTTTTAAAGGTCTTAGCCATGTTTCAGTAGGGGCATTTACACTGCAAGCAAAAACCATGGTTTTTCTCACAATTCCAGAGTCTTGTCAGAATTTGCTTGGCAACTACACTGTACCCATAAACTTGACCAAAAACCTACCGTATTATAAACTATTGAGATCTATTAGAAAGACTACTTTCAAACCAAGATGACAGACAAATTTGAGTGTTGTTGTAGTTTCCGAGTGGTGAGTCAACACACTGATTACTGAGCTGGGAGGCATTGCCAGGCATAGCGCCATAAAATGTATAAGACGCACCCCCGACTTCGGCGGCAAAAAAGTGTGCCTTATACACAGAGATTTACAGTACATGTACCATTGAAGTGGGTTTTTTTTTTTAACGGCAGCCGCAACTCCACCGGTTATTGCAGTGTAAATGCTCTCTCAAAACACTGCATGCTCTCTTTTTAACACCAGTGAATTATACCAGTTTTTGTCACATGACTCTCCCTGCAGAGCAGCGACAAGTGGTGCATGCCCACACCACGCCCCCCAAAACAGAATTATCAAATACTGACGGTTTTTTAATGAGTTTTCCAAAATGGGTTTTTCTGCAAAATAAATGGGCCTACATGTACAATAGGATCAAAAGTTTTTTATGTACAGTGTACGCTTTTGTTTTTATTGTGGCCAGAAGTATTTTCCAATGAACATCTACAATGTTATGCACCTAGAGTACAAAACACACCTGCATAATTCATTAGCCTACATGTATGCTCTTGTCTTCTTGATCAATTTAGCGAAGGTGCTTTATGTGCTACTCAACAAGTTCATTGATTGAATGAGTGTGGGAGTGTAGGATTGAAGTTGGACAGGTGAGAATAGTGAGGTCAAAACAAAGCAAGTGTTTTACAGTCTGATGTGATTGAACAAATGTGAGGACAAAATTTCTTCAAAAAAATGTTATTCCAATCCATTGATTAGTCCACACATTTGGACACTTCTTCTCCAAAAGCCTTATTATAATACTTCATTACATTAATTTCTTTAATGAAGTGTAAGTATTTCAGGAATCAGGATGAGAAAATCATATTTATTAGCTGTTGCTGTGTTGGAAATGCCTCTGGCAAGCTCTCTGGTCGTCGCCATGAGTCACAATTGTAGTAGAAGACTGGTAGCGTGCATTAAACTATTACTACCAGAACTAAAAAATATCTTTAAAAAGACAGCATGTACATGTACATGTACACCATGACATCAGAAAGTACTTCATTATGTTACTGTATAGCAACCCTGTGTACATTATGCCCATCGCTTTTGCACCTCCATGATGATGCCAATTGTTAAAGCCATTACTGGCATAGTGACGTCAACAGGCTGGTCTATAAATGTTGCATAAAGTAATTTCTTGTTCATTAGATAGAGGGATACTATAGAGGGAGTTGTCAAATTATTGATTGTGTCGCTGTGTCTAAAAATAACCAATGAGTAGTGGGTGTACATGCACGTACTTTCATGCTTCGCTTTCAACATTCATGAAAACAAAAACAATGTGTACATGGCAGATGTTGGGCAAATAGACAATTATTTGCCATGTCATTGGCATTGATTGAGTATGTTTTGTAACTTGTTTTCTTATGAACAATACATGTAGACTTTGATCACTAAACTCTCAAAAGTTATTAAACTTTTCAGACTGAAGTTTCACAGTATAAAGTTGAGGAACTTGAAGAATGTCATTCATATTTATTAAGGTTTATGATATTTCTTTGAATACTAATAATCTATTCCTAAATTGATGTGCTTTAGTTTTTAAATCAATGCTAAAAATTCAAAGGCTCTATTCAAATGTACATGTAGATAAATTTTGTAAATCATCCTCAGCCCATTGGCTTCCAAGTAAGAAGATTTTCATTTAGGGAATTACTTTTCCCTGCCAATTGTAATATTCTTTTAATGGTTGATATCTGTATTCTGTTTTTTTTCTTCAAAATAAAAATACATTTACTTGTAGTCCTACAGTACTGTACATGTTCATTGGCAAATTGCAGGAACATGTAGGAAAGGTATGGGATCACTTTGTTGCAGAGTTCATGTACATGTATGGTACATGTATATCATTCAGAGCCATGAATATCAATGTTTTTCTTACTCCACCTACATATACATGTACATTGTAGGGTTTATTTTTTGATTAGGATAAACATCATTTTGAAGTGACTAATACATGTACAGTGTACATACACTGATATTTTTGTTAAACTCAAAAACGGTATCAAGACTGATCCTGGTTCGGTCGACAAAAGGTACAGGCACATTTTGTATTACCGGTAAGTACACTGTGCGTGTACATCCTCTCTCTACATTTCACTACCAATAATAAGCCTGCAACAAATCTACAGTGTACATGTACAGTACATAAACATTGTTTGAATGATATTGAGAAGAAAATGTAACCACAGTGAGTTCATATGTGAGATTTAACATGGCAATCCCAAAATCACCCCATGCACTGCAAGCATGAATAAATTCAAGACAACAATTAAATTACACTCCAGTCGCCCAGACAACAAAAGAAACTTGTTATGAAAAGGTGGATTGAATATGCTTGTACTG